ACATCACATGACAACACATCACATAACATCTTAACACATAACATTACAACACATCACGTAACACAACACAACATAACAATGCAACATAACATCACAGCACATCACATAACATTACAATGCAACATAACATCACAACACATCACATAACATCACATAACACAACAACACATCTCATAGCATCACATTACATCACAACACATCACATAACATCACAACACATAACATCACAAAACATCACAACACATCACATACATCACAACACATAACATCACAAAACATCTCAACATATCACATAACATCACAGCACATCACATAACATCACAAAACATCACAACATATCGCATAACATCACAAAGCATCACATAACATCACAACACATAACATCACATTACATCACAACACATAACATCACATTACATCACAACACACCACATAACATCGCAACACATAACATCACATCTAATCACAACACATCACATAACATCACAGCGCATCACATTACACAACATCACAAGACATCACATACACATCACACAGCATCACATAACATCCCGACACATAACATCACATCACATTACATCACAACACACCACATAAAATCACAACACATGACATCACATAACATTCCAACACATTACAACACATAACATAGATCACATCATATCACATAACATCATAACACATAACATCACAACACATCACATCATAACATATAAGATCACAACACATCACAATACATAACTTCACATAACACCACTACACATAATAACATAACACATAATATAACATAAGATAAGATAACAACATAACGCATAACATAGCAGAACATAACATCTTAACAAAATAGCAGCATAACAAAACAACACATCACATCACATAACAATGCAACACAACAAAACATAGCAACACAACATAACACAACATAGCAACATAACATGACACATCACATAACAACAACACATAACATGGCAACAAAACACAAAATTACATAGCAAAAGATAACAACACAACAACATAACATAGCAACATAACGGCAACACGGTGGCGCAGTGGGTACCACTATCGCCTCACAGCAAGAAGGTAGCTGGTTCGAGTCTCGGCCGGGTCAGTTGACGTTTCTGTGTGGAGTTTGCATGTTCTCCTGTGTTGGCATGGGTTTCGTCTGGGACAGCTGGACGTACATTATCACTTGTCTATTAATTGTGCAGCTGAACTTTTAGAAATCATGCTTCTATATATAAACGTGAAACCTTGTTTGAACTCAAAGGCCCAGCGTGACATTAAAACACCTCCGTTTCCAAAACAGCACGAGAGGAAAGCGGCAAAAACTGCTGGCATTTTTTTCTGCAACCCCGAATCAATTTGTGCTGAGGACGATGCAGAAATCACTGCACCAGATGTTGCGGAGTCGAAGAAAAAAAACAAAAACGGAGAGAAGCAAAAAGAGGCAGAAACACAGAGACAGTTTGAAGAGTTATCCAGGAAAAGTGTAATTTATTTTTAATTACGGGAGTTGAATATTAACCCCATGCCGGGTCTGAGCAAGCTGTCCTTAATTGGCCCATTTCCTCCGTCACTAAAGTGTGGATGTGTCACGCAAACGTCTGTTTCGCTCAGCTCTGGTGCCTTTTTGCCTCATTTCAGCTGTGACAGACCAGAGGACACACACACTACAGACATTCATCATGCAAACTCATCATCATCATCAGAGTTTACAGTCAGTGCAAAACTTCAGATCTAGAGAATGCAGGCTCAGAGTACTGCTGTTGCCGTTATCTAGACTGCTCACAAAAACATTTGTTTTGTTCAGTGGCTCAGTGGTTAGCACTGTCGTCTCACAGCAAGAAGGTCGCTGGTTTGAGTCCCGGCTGAGTCAGTTGGCATTTCTGTGTGGAGTTTGAATGTTCTCCCCGTGTTAGTGTGGGTTTCCTCCGGGTGCTCCAGTTTCCCCCACAGTCCAAACACATATTGTGTGAGTGTATGTACAGTCCAAACACATAGTGTGTGAGTGTATGTGTGAATGAACATGTATGGGTGTTTCCCAGTTCTGGGTTGCAGCTGAAACGGCATCGCTGTGTAAAACATTTGCTGGATAAGTTGCTGGTTCATTCCACTGTGGCAACCGCTGATGAATAAAGGGACTAAGCCAAATGAAATTGAATGAATGAATGTTGAACAGATTAAGGAAATGTTCACAGTCTTTGCTCTAATATTTGTTCTTCTGGAGTAAGATTTATTTTATTTTGGCTTGAATAAAAGCAGTTTTTATTTGTTTTAAAGCCATTTTAAGGTCAGTATTATTAGCCCCCTTAAGCAATACTTGTTTGAGATTGTACAGAACAAACCACTGTTATACAATGACTTGCCTAATTGCCCTAATTAACCTAGTTAAGCTAATTAAGCCTTTAAATTGTGATAATTTTGGAGGGGTATGCAGGACTGCTGTATAATTATTTTATAATGAAAGCAATTAAATAATTAACTAAAATGTGTAAAAAAATAAATAAATTAAAACACTAATCAAAATAGAAAAGGGAAAATGATATCACAGAAATGCTGTAGAATTATTTTAAATGAAAGAAATAAAAAAGATATAAATATATAAAATCAGTTTAATTAATAAAAAACTTAAAATAATCAAATTTAGAAATGTGGTTAAAAAATGTATAAAAGCAACTAAAATAGACAACCAACTTGAATCTTAAATAATTAAAAATGTATTAAAAAAATATGTAAAACAAAGTTTTCCTAAATTAAATGTCCAAAGCACACTACAGTACATGCATTCATCACACACACTCATCACCATCATCGTCAGAGTTTACAGTCAGTGCAAAGTTCAGATCAAGATAATGCACCATTTCTGACTCTCAGAGTACTTCAACACACAAAAAAATATTAATTTATGAATAACAAAAATGCAAAACTTCTGCATAATTATTTTAAAATTAAAGCAATCGAAATAAACAACTACAAAAGGTAAATATATATAATGTATAATATACAAGTCAAATAAAACCCTTACAATAATCTAAATCGTAAATGTGGTAAAAAAAATGTATAAAAGCAACTAAGGGCGAGGCAGTGGCGCAGTAGGTAGTGCTGTCGCCTCACAGCAAGGTCGCTGGGTCGCTGGTTCGAACCTTGGCTCAGTTGGCGTTTCTGTGTGGAGTTTGCATGTTCTCCCTGCCTTCGCATGGGTTTCCTCTGGGTGCTCCGGTTTCCCTTACAGTCCAAAGACATGCGGTACAGGTGAATTGGGTAGGCTCTATTGTCCATAGTGTATGAGTGTGTGTGTGAATGTTTGTATGGATGTTTCCCAGAGATGGGTTGTGGCTGGAAGGGCATCCGCTGTGTAAAAACGTGCTGGATAAGTTGGCGGTTCATTCCGCCGTGGCGACCCCGGATTAATAAAGGGACTAAGCAGACAAGAAAATGAAATGAAATGAAAGCAACTAAAATAGACAAGCAACTTGATTCCTAGATAATTAAAAATGTATAAACTTTACCTTTTGTATGTAGAATAACAAGTATCCTTGTTTAATTAATGACTATTTGCAGTACTATGTATTTTTTGGGGGGGGTCTATGTTACAAAATGTAAAGGTACAAATGGAATCAAACATATAATTTGTCAAAGATGCCAAAAGGATAAAAATATGTCTCATGTAAAAAGAAGAGATAAGTAAAAGAAGAAATAAGTTTAAGTAATAGACGAATGATGTATGTGGTAATGGGGTAAGAAAATAATACGCTTGTGCTTCATCCCATTCCATTTTCGACCATGTTGAAATGTGTTTTTTTGTTAATGATATTTTATGTATGATATTTCTGTCCGAAAATAAATGAATCAAATCAAATAAAAAAAATGTAAAACAATTTTATTTCCTAAATTAAATGTCCAAAGCACATTACAGTACATGCATTCATCACACAAACTCATCATTAACATTATCAGGGTTTACAGTCAGTGCAAAGTTCATGCACCATTTCTGACTCACAGAGTACTTCAACACAAAAAAAATCTGAATTTATGAATCACAAAAATGCAAAACTGCTGCATAATTATTTTCAAATAAAAGCAATCGAAATAAACAACTACAAAAGGTAAATATATAAACATATAATACAATAAATATATATATATATATATATA